ATAATAATATTAGCAATAATAATTCTGATAATAATGACAGCAATACTAATACTGATAATAATAATAGCAATGATAATACTGATAATAATAATAGCAATAATAACACTGATAATAATAATAGCAATAAAAATACTGATAAAAATAGAAAATGTCACGTCCCCTGAGTCTATGAAATGCCCGTGTTCAATGGGGAGATTTTGTTCACCCCTGCACTAAGAGAGCGGTCTGTACAGATGTTTCTGGAAAGAGTTGAATACGGAGAGAAACCTGTTTTGTGTTGTATGTTTTGATTTTATTGCACAGGCGCAGTTTTGTGTCATGGACGCGTTCTGTATTCAAAACGTTTTTTCTAGTGTATAGTTAGAATCAGTAAAGTGTTCTAATATTTTGTGCTGAAAATGTTTAAATGTTATTTTCATTCTGCTCAATTTTTACGAGAAATTGTTCTAAAATATTAAGATAAATCTTTTATTTCTTATACTTGATATATATCCTTGAGAAATATCTTTGTAAATAGTTTAAATAGTCGTATGATAAATATTGGGCTGTTCATGGTTTTTTAATGCCTGAGGGATACTTTAATTGTTTTTGTACCCTCAATGCTTTTTCCATGAGAAATAAATGTTATTTTGTTCATTAGACTGAAGCTGTTAACCTGTAATAAAGTTAAAGCCCTTTTCTCTGTGTTTTATTCAACATGAGGAAGAGCGAGGATGATCGGGGTGCTTATGGTTCGGTTAGAAGGAGTTCAGCACGGTATTATCTTTATATAAACTAGGGCAACGCCAGTTGCGAAGCAATAATAATACTGATAATAATAATAATAGCAATAATAATACTGATAATAATAATAGCAATAATAATACTGATAAAAATAGAAATGATAATTCTGATAATATTAATAGCAATAATAATATTGATAATTATAATGTCAATAATAATTTTGATAATAATTATAGCAAAACTAATACACTGTAAATATTAAAACGTAATAAAAAATCAAGAATTTTTGGAAAAGCGAATCACAGCAGATTTTCTTGATAAATTATAAATTTTGAATATTTTGAAAACGGCAGAAATTAAAAAAAATACACATTTTTTTATTATTTTTATAAGAAAAACTGAATGCAGAACAATATTTTTAAAACTGTTAATAATGCAAGTCATTATTATTAAGAAAAAGATAAAAATATAACAATTTCAGGATACATATTTCGCGCCATCTCTATTTTAGAGTAGACACCACCTAGCGGCCAAATGCGGCAGCTCTGGAATCATAATTTCTGGATAAACTATTCAGATTTTTGAATAATTTGAAAAAACTTCCACATTAATAATACAAATATCAATTTAATTAAATAAAAACACGAACAGAAAAAAACAAATTGGTAATTAAATAAGATTTATTGAATAAATACGTACACAGTACAAAATAGCATTTGGCATTCTACTGTCACCTCCCCCCCTCCCTCCCTACAGCCCCACCCTTGTTCACAAGCAGTTTGTGCGCATTTACCGTATGAAATATATTTTCAATAAATGTGGAACTAACATCTACTTTTTTACTCTACAGAGGTTTAGTCCATCACCATCACTGAATTTTTAATACTAATACTGATAATAATAATAAAAATAGCAATACTAATACTGATATTAATAATAGCAATAATAATACTGATAATAATAATAGCAAAAATAATACTTATAATAATAATATCAATAGTAATAATGATAATAGCAATAATAATACTGATAATAAAAGTAGCAATTATAATATTGATAATAATAATAACAATAATAATACTAATAATAATAATTGCAATAAATAATACTCATAATAAAAACAGCAATAATAATATTGATAATAATAATAGCAATAATAATACTCATAATAAAAATAGCAATTATAATACTGATAATAATAATAGCAATAATAATAATAGCCATAATAATAAGATAATAATAATAGCATTAATAATAATGATAATAATAAAAGCAATGATCATGTTGATAATAATAGTAATGATAATAAAAGCAATAATAATACAGAGCCCGCGATTTAAAAGCTTCGGCTCGAGTCGTAATTCTTTAAACCCGACTTTAAACCCCAATCTTCGACCCAACTCTAACGACAGCTTTGTCACCTGATTGACAGCTACAAGATCTTCGGCTCGACTTCAGGAGTTAGGCCCAATTAAAAAAAACCGACCTTGGTTGGTTTTAGTGGAGAATAAGGCTCAATGTTGGGTCTTATTCTCATCAAAACCCGGAATGCGCCAATTCCAACTAGGAAAATCCGCCAAATACAACATTAAACCGGTTTTATGAACTAAATCCTGTTGAAAAATAGATGCAACTTAAATCCAAAAGCCCGAGCCGTATATAAGGCTCAACAACAGCTTAGACCCGAGTCGTATTTTCTTGAACTTTTTAAATCGCCGGCTCTGGAGATATAAGTTCCAACACTTGGCCCATTTATAAATGGGTACACATTGAAAGACTGGGGTTTTAGGATCCCGGCCCGAATCTTTAATTATTTTCTTAAATCAAAATTATAAAAGAAGTTATTTTTATATTTAATCTCTTGACCGTTTTCAAGACAAGATATCCTGAATTTAAATCATTGTTGCGTTTTTGTGATAAAACCCAATTTTTCCGTTTTTGAGTATAATCCGCAATTCAAAACAAAACTCATTTTCATGACTTACAAAATAAATCATTGAAAGTGAAAATTATCTTATGAACCCTAAATTATATCTAGAATCTTGGTTTTCACATTTTATTTGTTAAATTAGAGAATAAAGTTGATTTAGTTTCCTGCATTTTAAGCAATCAATTTCCCGCATTTCTAGTTAAATCTAACAAAATAAGATTAATATTTTGTTTTCTCAATGCCATGATATTTTTTTTTTAATTACAATTCGAGTAATTGTCTCAAAACCAGGATATGTTAAAAAACGAGACATGAGCTAAAATCCGATAATTGTTTGAAAATAGGGATATGTTCGAAAATGAAAACAAGAATCACCAAAAACTGATTTATTATTAGTTTAAAATTGACATTTTGGTTGCAATAAATAGTTTTAGCCAGTTTCTTATAGATATATGGTGTAATTTTGTTCTACTCAATGAAGACGACTATCGATTTCAAATTTGGTTAATATCTAGCTTTTAAAAAGCATTCATACACAAAAACATGGAAGCAAAGAGAATCTGTCAATTTATAAAGCTTCTCTTTAATTACTTGTAAACTTTCGATTCGAAAAAAACTTGTTTACAATAAATATTAAATAAAAAAGTCGTCTTCATTATATTGATATTATCGCAATGATAATAATAAAAATAGCTATAATAATGATAAGAATGGTAATGAAAGTCAAAATAATGACCATTCAACCATCATTCCGTATGAAATCAAGAGACACATGGATTTGACAAGTCAGATTGAAAAAAGTTCTGGTTGCAAAGCTAAAACTTATTAGAGATACAAAAGAGGCAGATTAGCAAGATAAAAGATAAAAATCACGAGTAGTTCAAAAGTCAGAAAAAACCTGCCATCCAATATAATGGATTTTTAGTAATGTGTTTTTTCTTAAATTTAGGGCCAAGGAGGGTCTAAGATAATAGTGGGGTGGAAAAAGGGGCCCCGGGGGATGTGGGAGGCCAAGGGATGCTTTTGTTCCTGATTATGGTTGTGTAGAAACATAAAACAAACATGAAGCTAGAAGAAATCCAGGTTTAAGTGTGAGTTAAAATAAATTGGATGGTTTAAGAACTAAATGTTTAAAGCTTCCTACTCTAAGCCTCTTAACTCTTCCTGCATTTCAACTCTATTGACTCTTCTCTCCGCCTCAAAAAAAATCTTTGTCAATTTACAAGAAAAAATGTTCAAACATTTTATTTATTAAAACCAATTTTATGAATTGACTTTTCTGAAATTGGGAAATTCGACTCTTTTGGACACACACTTTTGAGAGTTTATCTTTTGCTAAAAAAAGCTAAAAATACTTATTTGACACCCCTGGCATATTAATTGTTATACACCCCAAATCATAAAATTATAGAGGTCGAGAAGACGGACTCTATTGAAACACAAATAACTGTACCAGTATATATTTAGATCTACTTTTATCAATAACACGATAAATCTTAATACAGTTTTTATATATCTATCACATGGTTCGAGAAGATTCTAGAATGTTCGAAGCCGCGAAGTCAATTCTCTCTTGTTGTGGAAATCATCTAAGGAAGCCGATAGTCATCTTCCACAGCATTACAGTTAAAGAAAATAATAATTATAAAAACTGTACAGCTGTCTCCTTTGAATTAGAAAACCACTGACCAGCCTTAAATTATATCCGTGAACCAAGAATCACGCGGATATATTAAACTGGTTCGTTTATACCAGATTCAAAATGTTTTCCATTGAATCCCTAGGATATTTAAATTGCAACCCTGAAACCAGGGTCGAAATCAAATTGATTGCGAATTTTTCTGCCGAGAAATTGCGGATTTACTACACCGAAACATGAATTAGATTTGAATTGACCTCAAAAGTATGTGTTTGTTAAAACTAAATAGATTTTACAGTTTTTAAAAGCTGAAAAAAGGTTGATTTTTATTAACATTAGAATGTTATATTTTGTTTAGAAGTGGAGAAGTCTCCATTATCTCCTGAAAGACACGGCAATGTAAAATTTCCTTCTATATTTATTGCATCCTTATTGAATCCCTGATATTTATATTTCAACTCTAAAACCAGGTTAGGTTGCAACCCTAGGGATGCAATCTAACAGTTTACAATCTATTCTGACTTATTTGGAAAATGTTTGCAAGTTGAAATTGATTTTTTTTTGTTATTTCAGAGAGCTTAGAACCAAAGAAACTAAATTCAAAAGCCGCAAGCAGTGATTTTCAAATCCCTAAAACTTTGCAACCCGATTGCAACTTTAAATATTACACATATTTATTTATTGATTTAGCAAAATTAATAGAGAAACAGTTGTTAAGGAAATTTATTAGTTTGTTAAAATGATTATATAATCTATATTTTAGTAACAAATAACGATTATTATTATTCATATAACCATGAAACTCCAAATAAAGGGTGAATCTGACCCAATCGAACAACATCGGAAATCGCTTCAAATGAGATTAGGTCATTTCAATCGATTAGTCCAGCTTCAGCTATTCTAGGTTTTCAACCTGGTATTTAATATAAATATTTTAATAAAATAAGAAACAGAAGAGCTTGTGCTGATTCAACATTTTCAAATTCTAATCCTTCACTTTTCAGCTGTTCAATTCTAAAAAATCATAGATGAATTGATAGGACACAAGATGTCGTTTTTTCAAGATGTGTGCAGTGTGTTTTGTTCACAATAAGCCTGAGGCAGAAGCCCAAAGGAGTTATACGTAGTCGGCATATAACAGGCTCTCTCTCTCTGTAGAATTACAAGACAAAGGGAGAGCCTGCTCTACCAAGATTTCGCGTATATCCTTTGGGCTTCTACCTCAGGGTTATAATGAACAAAACACACGTACATCTTGAATAGACGACATCTAGTGTCCTATCTGTTATTTGAATTAATTTATGTAAAATATAAACTTAAAAATATGAAAAATAATAGCTCAAAGGAATATTATCTATTCATAAACAGTCCTGATAATACATTAATCAATTTTCTTTCACATATGTTCTAAACCTAATTCATTACCGGTATAATATATTAAAAGATTATCAAGGTTTGTTAAGTATTTTTAAATATTCTTAATCTTACCTGGTTAGCGCTAAGTTTTCGTTCCACAGATTTTCATAAACAATCCTATTAATAATCATATTTTCATAAACAATCCTGATAATAATAATAATATTTTCATTAACAATCCTGATAATAATAATAATATTTTCATAAACAGTCCTATTAATAATTATATTTTCATAACAGTCCTGATAATAATAATAATATTTTCATAAATAGTCCTGATATAAATAATAATATTTTCATAACAGTCCTATAATAATAATAATATTTTCATAAACAATCCTGATAATAATAATAATAATATTTTCATAAACAATCCTGATAATAATAATAATAATGTTTTTATAAACATTCCTGATAATAATAATAATAATATTTTCATAAACAGTCCTGATAATAATAATAATAATGTCTTCATAACAGTCCTGATAATAATAATAATATTTTCATAAACAATCCTGATAATAATAATAATAATATCTTCATAACAGTCCTGATAATAATAATAATATGTTCATAAACAGTGCTTATATTAATAATATTCTTATAAACAGTCCTTAAAATTAAAATAATGTTCGTATAAACAGTCCTTAAAATTATAATAATATTTTCATAAACTTCCTACTAATAATGATAATTTTTTCAAAAACTGTCATGATAATAATAATAATGTTTTCAAAAACTGTCATGATAATAATAAGAATATTTACATAAATAGATCATAATATTTCAAAAAAAGATAATGATAAAATTTATTTTAAATAAAATTTATTCTGTAATTATTCAGATTGTGACCATATTAACTTTTTACAAAAATCCCACTTTACTTTTGTTTGTTTTAACTCGAAAAAATAAATACAAATAATATTTTTTAAATGCCTTGAATTGAGTCGTTGTATCGGTCTATAATTTCCTGCCATAGGATTCAAATCTGAAATTATAATTTACATTATGTTCACCTTCTTCAAATAAGAAGCATCCGTGAAAATATTAATCAAAAACGGAACTGGATTTTTAGTATTTTTAAACGCAAGCTTTATGTTCTAGTTATCAAACATATTCATCATAAACTTATGAAATAAGTATGATTAGTTTATATGTTATGTGTATTTTCAAATAAGTCAACAAGTTCTTTGTGATCTTAGATTTAGAGGCAAAGCAACCATTTTTAAAAATCTCAAAAGTTATGCACTAAACTACTCAAATATGAAGGTTTTGAGTAGTATATAACAAATATACACCACACTACTCAAATATGAAGGTTTTGAGTAGTATATAACAAATATACACCACACTACTCAAATAGGAAGGTTTTGAGTAGTATATAACAAATATACACTACACTACTCAAATAGGAAGGTTTTGAATAGTATATAACAAATATACACCACACTACTCAAATAGGAAGGTTTTGAGTAGTATATAACAAATATACACCACACTACTCAAATAGGAAGGTTTTGAATAGTATAAAACAAATATACACTACACTACTCAAATAGGAAGGTTTTGAGTAGTATATAACAAATATACATACACTACACTACTCAAATATGAAGGTTTTGAGTAGTATATAACAAATATACACCACACTACTCAAATATGAAGGTTTTGAGTAGTATCTAACAAATATACACCACACAACTCAAATAGGAAGGTTTTGAGTAATATATAACAAATATACACCACACTACTCAAATAGGAAGGTTTTGAGTAGTATATAACAAATATACACCACACAACTCAAATAGGAAGGTTTGGAGTAGTATATAACAAATATACACTACACTACTCAAATATTAGGGGTTTGAGAAGTATATAACAAATATACACCACACTGCTCAAATATTAGGGGTTTGAGATGTATATAACAAGTATACACCACACTACTCAAATAGGAAGGTTTTGAGTAGTATATAACAAATATACACCACACTACTCAAATATTAGGGTTTTGAGAAGTATAACAAATATACACCACACTACTCAAATATTAGGGGTTTGAGAAGTATAACAAATATACACCACACTACTCAAATATTAGGGGTTTGAGAAGTATATAAGAAGTATACACTCTGTACACTACACTACTCAATTATTAAGGGTTTGAGAAGTATATAAGAAGTTTACACTCTGTACACTTCACTACTCAAATATTAGTAACAACTAACAATGTGTACAAATTAAGGAAAGCAGTTGAGATTGTACAGCATTCATCAGCCCGCTCGGGACCTTCCGCTACATATGCATGCCTTTAGGCTTATGTAATACAGGCAGTGTATACTTGAGGATGCTGCATGTAGCTTTGGTTCATGTACAAGCAAATATATATTTTTACTATGTTATATATATCTATTACATTACCGTCTCCTACAACTTTGTTCATCTTTTTCAACTGCTTTACTGCTACTTCAAGTCCCTTCATTACGAAAACTAAATTTGTGCAAAAATGTAGAATGTACACAGCGCACCATATCATTTTAGATTATCTGCATGAACATTTTTATATTATTAGCCGTTAAACATTTTGATGATAATTCATTTTCCTTTAAGTGTTTAATAAGTCCCAAAAATTTGTAATTTTGAGCCATTAACGATCCAATACGATATGGGGCACCCTGTATCTAATCAATGTTTGATAAACTCTTCACTCAATATTCTTTACGTAGACGAATAAGTTATATTAAATCTTTAATACGCTACTTTAAGATGTTTAAGAGATAGATAAAAACAAATTTAAAAACCAAATCAAATAAAAATATTGAATTCCTGATTATGATCTTACTTTTACTCAGAAAGCACAAATAGCAATTATCAATTTTCAAATGAAAAAAAAGATATCTTTTCAATATTTTCTCAGGCAAATATTTAAAATGTATATTGGGCATGAAATTCTACATATTATTTAAAGTTATGTCTACACTGTATTCTAACAACATGAATTAATATCTCTGGTTGAATTTTGTTTTTTTCCTTCTTCATTATAGTCCATGAGACCTGTTGAGTGCAGGGTGGGAACGGTAGGGAGCCTGAATACCTAGGTATGTATAATATTATAGAGAAGTACTCTAATACCTTGGTATGTATTGTACTAAACTAATGAAATTAAAGCTACCCCCTAACCTGTAGAATTGATCACGAAGTGGAGGTTTAGGAAGAAATATATCCAGAGGAAAAATATTCTTAACAGTGAAGTAGGTTCCAGGTTCTTCAATATACGGTAAACTATTCTAAATATAGAAAAACAAATAATTTTATTGAATTTCAAGATTTCATTTAACTAAAGTGCAGCCTCAATACACTTTTGTTTAAACGAATATCTAAGCAAATCTTTTTTCCTCCAGATTTTAAGGAAAAGTACAAACTCTACGACTTTGGATTGCAAAGATATGGAGATAGGAAAATTAGATTTATTGCAAAGACTCAATTTCTTCCCCACAAAAACATGAATCATGTACATGCAGTACATGCAGTGCAATGCAGTACACGGAGCACATGCATTACATGAAAGACAATGCAGTACATGCAGGCAGTACATGAATGATGTTTTGCCCCTGCATTACATCCAGTACATGGAGTACATGCAGTTCATGGAGTACATGCAGTACATGCAGTACATGCAGTACATGCAGTACATGCAGTACATGCAGTAAATGCGGTACATGCCGTACATGCAGTACAAGCAGTACATGCAGTACATGCAGTACAATGCCATGCAGGCAGTACATGCAGGCAGTACATGAATTATGTTTTGCCCCTGCATTACATGCAGTACATGCAGTGCATGCAGTACAATTCAGTACTTGCAGGCAGTACATGCAGTACATGCAGTACATGCAGTACAATTCAGTACATGCAGGCATCAGTGTTCGTTTAGTATTCGAGGAGGAGGGTACAATGGAGAATTTACTTCTCTTTATTACTGTCTGTGAACAAATTTGTTTGGAGGGTAAGTGATTTTAAAAAGAAAATTATCGACTATCTATTAAATGTTCATGCTGGTCATCTCAATCTCTAATTTTTCTGTGCAAAATCAAGTTTTTTCCTCCGTTTATTTGTTAAATTTTATCGTTGTGGGGCTTTTTTATTAATTATAATTATGATGCCCTTTTGATCAAAACTTCTTCCTCTTCTCTCCTAATTTAAGCTTTTTTATTTGAGCTTTTTTCTTTTTAGTCCTATTATAATTCATTATACATTTGAGTACATTTGTCTCTTACATTCATTATATATTTAAATACACTTTCCTCTTACATTCATTATATATTTGAATACACTTTCCTCTTACATTCATTATATATTTGAATACACTTTCCTCTTACATTTATTATATATTTGAATACACTTTCCTCTTACATTTATTATATATTTGAATACACTTTCCTCTTACATTCATTATATATTTGAATACACTTTCCTCTTACATTCATTATATATTTGAATACATTTTTCTCTTACATTCATTATATATTTGAATACACTTTCCTCTTACATTCATTTTATATTTGAATCCACAACCAGTAGCTGGATTAAGCTTAAGAGATCACTGTATTTCCCAAGCAAGGAGCTTGTGGAAAGTATTCACCATTATATGAAGAAGTTACATGTTGAGAATATACGTAGGCAACCAGATCCTATGGAGAGAAATACGGAGATAACTTCTAGAGATAGACCAGACCTGACTCGAAGTGGACCTTTTTTTTAAAATACCCTTTTTTCAATGTATAAGAGTTTTGAACTCTCAACTCAAGGAAAAACACAAAACCAATTTTAAGCAAAAATCTCAGTTCATTTTTTTTAATAAATTTGGCGAAATATAATGCATTTATTGTTTTATTTTCTTCAGTATAGTATGACTATACGTTGGTAGGCGTTTATATCAATTAAATAGTAAAGTGAAGCCTAAAAAAAAGAATTTTCATCGATGCTTTATTAAGTAATTAACCATTCCTTACCCAAAAACGAGCATAATATAGACATCATGAAAGTCTGATGGTTTATTTCTGTTCTTGTGATTAATGAGGCTTTTATAAGACTTTCAACAGAAAAGACGTTGTGATCCAATTTGTATGTTTATTGGGTCTCATTGTTGTTGGGTTATAGAAAAAATGCAAAAGTCTCTCTATAACCTCAGTAAAACATTACAATTGAATAACTTAAAGCTTTTTTTATTTTGATAATTTTGATAATTTACGTTATAATTTCCTATGACCAGAATATTTCATTGATTTTTTATTTGAAAAATGTGACACCAGACACCCCTACTCTTATGTTTACATTAGAGCCCAAAGACAGTACACTGCAGTACAAAAAAAATCGTACACCGAAAGTTTTGGCAGAAAACATCTTCTAGGCTATCATGTATATTCCAAAATATTACAATATTCCAAAATATTACAAAAGAAATTGTAATTTTTTTTATTTTTTCTTAATTGTATTATAAACTTAATAGAAACTCATGTATAAAGAACTCAATAAAGGCAACTTTACAAAGAGAAACTCAATATAACAAGCCAGATGGAATCGATTAAAGCACTAACTTTGCACGGACATTTATTTTACATTATTATTAAAATACAAACTGAGGATCAACCGAAGTTAATCCTGGAATCATAGATGGAGCTAATTCTCCTCTCGGAGCTACTGGAGCTGTGATCGACCGCTCTCTTCAGATCCTTCATCAAGACTGACCCTTTTCTCGGGGACAAAATGGACGTTCAGATTGCTTTCTCTTCCGACGAAAGCACCGTTATCCGTGTTCCCCCGATAAGGATTCCCAGGATTTGAACCTTGCTACCCTGGAAATTTCCTCTGGCCGTTGATACCAGCTCCAGTAGTAACGGGTTAAATACAATCAATATTATTTGTTTGTCCAGTTCTCAAACTTGGGTTGAATGAACTAGGCTATGGTTCTACATCCTTGGTGGGTTTACAGTATATTAATATAAATAATGTTGTGGCCCCAATAAATAGTTTAATTTAATTGATTGAAGTTTATAATTTTAATATCTGAAATACGTTTATTTAAACATATATAGTGAAAGAAAAATATAAAAACAACTCCAGCTCTGTATATAAATAGATCTTCCTTCGCTCAGAAATATTATTTTTTTCAAGAGGATGTACAGTATACTAAATAATTGTATATCTAATAATATTTGTAAACATAAATATATAGAAAAACATATTTTCGAGAAAAATGAAACATGTTCTCTGAAAAATTGTCCTTATCAAAACAAGAAATATATCTCTATATTTAATATTATATTATATTAATAAAGGAAATGAGTTTTTGTCACAAATTCTAATTATTTAATTCCTATATCTTTGCGATCCGATGTCCTAAACCTTTATTTCAATATATGAATTCTGTTAGATGAAATATTCTAAGTTTGAAATATCAAAGGTTTACACCATATATGAGATTGTAAAGATATATGTGGGCGAATATTTGAGTTTGTGGCAAAAACTCAGTTCCTTTCTATTAAAAACTTCGAATCAACCATTTTGATTTAGAAATACTTACTATGAACTTTCTTAGTTCTTTATTTTCATTGTTATCATTAGTAGCAGAAATTAGAACACTAAGTGCTACTATTCCATCCTAAAACATTAGTAGCAGAAATTAGAACACTAAGTGCTACTATTCCTTCCTAAAACATTAGTAGCAGAAATGAGAACACTAAGTGCTACTATTCCATCCTAAAACAAGACAATTCATGAGAATTCTTTCAAAAACAGTAAGATATTATACAACATCAGCTGTTTCGTAATTTCAATTTCTTCAAAACTGTGTTTCGAAAAATAACAAATATATTTCGTATTAGATAAGTATACGATGTATCTATTAATTCCAGGTGACGAGAAAAGATTTATTAATTTAAATCGTCAAATTAAATCATTTTCATGCATTGAAATATCGCAAGATTGAATGCGGGAATTTTCGGGTTTAATTGTTTACCTGTCTTCCTAAATAATGTACACTCCCTTTACTAGTTGTTTACCTGTCTTCCTAAATAATGTACAATTCCTTTACTAGTTGTTTACCTGTCTTCCTAAATAATGTACAATCCCTTTACTAGTTGTTTACCTGTCTTCCTAAATAATGTACACTCCCTTTACTAGTTGTTTACCTGTTCTCCTAAATAATGTACAGTTGTACTAGTTGTTTACTAGTATGCTGTCTACTACTATATTGTTTACTAATATGTTGTTTCCTAGTATGTTGTTTACTACTATGTACTACATCTACCAGATTCTACTAGTACTCAAGTACACTGCATATACTCTAAATATTATAACTCTATTGTTGTTTACCTGTTTTAAAATCTACATATACCAGATTCTGCTAGTAGTCAAATACACATATACTCTATATATTATAACTCTATATATTGTTGTTTACCTGTTTTAAAATCTACATGTACCTGGTTCTCCTTGTACTCAAGTACACCTATACTCTATATATTATAACTCTATTGTTGTTTACCTGTTCTAAAATCTACATCTACCTGGTTCTCCTTGTACTCAAGTACACCTATACTCTATATATAATAACTCTATTGTTGATTACCTGTTTTCCTAAAGCTTCCTCCCAACTTCTGAATCTTCTATTGTAATGAAAGAATTGTATTTCTCCACTGTACGCTGTTGTACTATATTCATACACATGTGTACAATGTATATGTACCGAGATATATTAAGGATTATATTTTCCAGGATAAATAAAATTTTTAAACATGGAACTATATTTTAAATGAATGGCTTGTTGAGCTGTTTTTTATAAATCCAAAGAAATGTGTCCTAACTTGTCCTAGCTGCCTTGAAATCCTCTCGGCACTTTAACTGAACCAAAATTTTAATGCAATTAAAATTTAAAAAAATTCTTCAAAAAAACTACAATTTAGACAACTATTTTAAATCTACCAATAAATAAAGAAAAATCTGCCAAATCTTAAATTGAAAATATTCACAGTTGAAAGAAAAAATACAAAGGAAACAAAGCATGCAAATCCTAAAATATATTTAAAACCCTGAATACACACTAGTTTCCTAATATAATGTTCACTTCCATCATTCAGCCCTGACAAGTACAAAACAGAATAATTAGTTCAAGTTTAATCTATAGATACATTCCGAGATATTGGACCTTTTTTATGAATTAAGATATCGTCGATTTTTCATCTTGAAAAGTTAAAATGTTTTTCTTTTTTTTTATGCCATATAGTCGCTTAAACAGTACATAAAGTTAAGTGTTAAATTATGGCAATTGCTTTTAGGGCTACGTTCCTGGGCAACATGGCAACCATTTTCATAAAACAGCATATCTTAATTGCTTCAAAGGCTTAAATGGTACAATTGTGAATCAGGCAGCATTTCTTGAAACGAAAAGTTTAAAAAGCATTGTTCAAGGATACAGCCAATAGTTTATAAACTTACAACCTACCAATCCCCCAATGTATATGTATTGTATGGATGACATACTCCCCTGTCAGGCCTCCTCCAGTCAGATATGGATTCACCTCAGCCCTCCATGGATCCATATTGATCTAAAAAAAAAAGTGAAATCTACATTTTTTCCAGTTTTACAAATATATAAGTTAGACGGAGCTGACAACTTTAAAACTTTGGCTATCGAGATCAATGTTAGATCTCCTCTTTTTAAGTGCCTAGAATTCAACCATTCAAAATGTCGTGTCAAAACCCAAATAGTCAATTAGAAGCCGGGAAAGTTTGGATGCAACCAATGGGAGAACAGTTTGATTATTCACTCCCACTCTCGTTGGTCGGAATCCATTAGAAATATCCAAAAAGAGAATTTTAACAAGTAAATCAAAACTTTCCGCAGTGAATTCAGATTAAGTGATCTGGATTAAGTGTATCCAATTCTAAAGTTTTAGATAGATCAAGTGTATTGCTAAAAAACATGTATCTGTGTACAGAACGAGTTTACAATTACAAATTGATGATTATTAAGAGTACAAGTATAAAGTAATTAGGTGGAAAATAGCTCTTGGCTGTTTTGATTACATTTTCACCTAATTTCAATAATGATAAGTTTATAACAAAATATTTCAATCAAATATATTTAAGGAGATCTATTAGAGGTCAGGGTGCGATTTTATCTTATGCTGAGTAGTTTATACATTTGTTAGAATAACTAGAGTTTAGTTTTCAACTCTGGTATATTGCCATATGTTCCTAATACCTGAATGGTTCTCCCGTTGTTCTGAATAGTTATGTTCTCCATTGCTGTATGATAATAATGGAATGTTATATTACCAAACTTGACAAAGGGAGCAGTCTTCCTGAAAAAGAACAGAACAGTTAAAAAAACTGTGGACATCATTCAATGGCCTTCTAGTTATAGAGGGCTCAGTTACATGTGCCATAATTCTTTTGTCATAACTACATTTGCCATAATTAAACTTGCCATAATAACACTTCCCATAAATAATTTTGCCATAAGTAACATTTGCCATAAGTTACACTTGCCATAAATACTTTTGCCATAACTTTTTAACTTTTACAATGATATAAATCTAACTATTTTTTTCTATTTGTAATATATTCTTTATCAATGTGTAATGCAATCTATGTTATCCATGCTATTAATATATATCTTAATTATCTGTATATGTATGTTGAACCTGCCGGGCTAGCCCGGTCAGTTTCGTTCACCTGTATATAAAATAAATTAGTTCAATACGATTTGTCGTTTAATACGGACGTATACATAGCCTTGAGTTTTGGCTAAGGATAGAGAGCCTTGAGTTTTGGCTAGAGGTAGAGTCAGTTAGATTCTAATTAGACTTTGAGTATAGTTATCATTAAAGTATCTCGGATCTAGATTGCTTACATATTAATGCGCTAAATTTTCTCATGAAAATTCCCAACTTTAGTTTTCTAACAATGCTGCCGGGAGAGATATGAAACCTAATACAGGGTAATGAAATAAGTAAACTGTTATTATCTACCACTAGTACCTGGGTAAAGAAATAAGTAAACTGCTATTATCTACTACTAGTACCTGGGTAATGAAATAAGTAAACTGCTATTATCTACCACTAGTACCTGGTTAATGAAATAGGTAAGCTGTTATTATCTACCACTAGTACCTGGGTAATGAAATAAGTAAACTGTTATTATCTACCACTAGTACCTGGTAAGAAATAGGTAAACTGTTATTACTTACCTATAGTACCTGGCTAAAGAAAAAGGTAAACTGGTTTATCTACCTATAGTACCTGGTAAAGATATAGGTAAACTGTTATTTTCTACCACTAGTACCTGGGTAAAGAAATAGGTAAACTGCTATCATCTACCACTAGTACCTGGGTAAAGAAATAGGTAAACTGTTATTATCTACCACTAATACAGGGTAATGAAATAAGTAAACTGTTATTATCTACCACTAGTACCTGGGTAAAGAAATAGGTAAACTGTTATTATCTACCACTAGTACCTGGGTAAAGAAATAGGTAAACTGCTATTATCTACCACTAGTACCTGGGTAAAGAAATAGGTAAACTCCTATTATCTACTACTAGTACCTGGGTAAATAAATAGGTAAACTGCTATCATCTACCACTAGTACCTGGTAAGGAAATAGGTAAACTGCTATTATCTACTACTAGTACCTGGGTAAAGAAATAGGTAAACTGCTATTATCTACTACTAGTACCTGGGTAAAGAAATAGGTAAACTGCTATTATCAACTACTAGTACCTGGGTAAAGAAATAGGTAAACTGCTATTATCTACTACTAGTACCTGGGTAAAGAAAAAGGTAAACTGGTTTATCTACCTATAGTACCTGGGTAAAGAAATAGGTAAACTGCTATTATCTACCACTAGTACCTGGGTAAAGAAATAGGTAAACTGGTATTATCTACCACTAGTACCTGGGTAAAGAAATAGGTAAACTGCTATTATCTACTACTAGTACCTGGGTAAGGAAATAGGTAAACTGATATTATCTACCACTATTACCTGGGTAAAGAAATAGGACTCTGATTAACTCCATTTTGACAAATACCAGGCCAGCTCTCAGCTCCCAGCAGTTCCCTTTTATATAATTACTATAAAGGAATTAGTTGAACTCCTAATTCAATTTGAAAAATATTTTGTATTATCTTTTGCCACATTTGTATATAGTTCATATTTTATGATATTTTGTTTTTTTAGAAAAAGTTTTAACGGATTTCAAAAAATGTGAGTGGTGCGCGTCATTCTTAGATAATTGCGCAAGCAACAAGAGAAAGGATCAAATTCATAACAAATTAATTAAAAAATATTATAAAATATAAACTATATACAAATGTGGCGAAAGATAATCGATGACTATAGGTTGTAATATCTGAATGATTTGTTTGAAATTAAATTGATTTTTTACGGTCTAAGTTGTATGTTGCAATTTTCTGAATTTGTATGGGCGCTACTTTCGTCTGTATGAGACGTCTTTAACAATTTTCTCCTTATAGACGGAGCAGATAGAAGTAAGATTAATAGCGATCAAAAGCGCTTTTTTATCGCATTAAGCTTATACCCCTTTCATTTTTCGCGAATACTCCCTTTAACAAAGATAATTTAGAATTCGTCGCTTAATTCCAATTTTATTGGAATAATAGAATTTAAGAAACAGATATTTAGCTTATACATAGAGAATAGAATACATATTAGAGGGGAATTTATTGAATCTCTCGGTATGAATTTTTTCAGTCCCTTTCAGCCTGAAAGGGAGTTCAAAGTGTAGAAATCATGTAAATGTTCACAAATTATATGCAGTAGAGTACATTAATACAGTATGTTCCCTAGACTATACACTTCAATTTCGAATTTTTTAAAGCTGTTAAATAAACTTTATAATGAATTAGGTGAATAAAAAACATCATTTGATATGATATATATTCTATTCTCTTTGGGTTTAAATCATTAAGTTGCAAAGATATAGGATTAATAAAATTTAAGTTTGCGTTAAAAACTTAATTCTTAAAACCCCTGGACTGATTTGCCTGAAATTTTGATTGGGGAACTCGGGAGACCTGAAAAATGTTTTTATCTTGGTTTTGATATTTAAAGTTTACTTTTAAAGGGAAAAATAGCTAAAATTGTAATATACAAGGGGTGGGTAAACGATAGGACTAACTATGACTTTCCTTGGTAGAGCTGGGTTCCCAAGCTAGTATATCTATATAAAGTTCTAATCTGACTGTTTGCTTGTTTGTTTGATCATAACTCAGGAACCACTAAACTGATTTGCGTAAAATTTTGATTGGGGAACTCATTTGACCTTCGGAAATGTTTCTAACTTGGTTTTAAGATTCTAAAACTAAAATTGTTTTTACAAGTCGCGGGTAAACGGTGGGCCTAACCATGACTACCCTGTGCAATGATGGCTTCCCAAGCTTGTTTATTTAATAAAATCAAAAATTTTAAAATATAGTTCCTAAACTAACCCGTGATAAGTCCAGTTATCTGATGATATCCAACAATGAACTACAGGTATGAGTAGTGCAACTACCACCAGCAGTAGCATTTTCATCCACACACAAACACTAGTTTAAGAATGCTTACAAGAAAATATTTCATTTTAAAGAAAAGTTAAAATACAAAATCAATTTTTCAATAAATGAAACATGCATGGATTAATGTGATTGCACACAATAATCCGAAGTGTGTATGCTTTCTTGCAAGAATATCCGCATTTAACCCTATCCCGATCGGGCGAATTGGGCTATTCTTGTCTAATAAAGACAAGGGGGGGGTGTTTTCCACCTACCACAATGATTTTAGCCTTAGAGCTAGCATGATACATGTAATAAATATTGTAGCAAATCCCATATTTATAAACCTGAACAGTAGCACACTTAGATAAATTACGTTGTACATTGTAACCTAACTACGTCTTATAAATAACTACGTCAAACTTGTAATCACGTTCATTAATGTAACTCAAAATATACGCTAGTTGACGGATTAATACTCCGCTTTGATTACAGTGTTAGAGTAATTATATGCCTCATGTAGCGAAACGAGAGGGACCTGAGGTATTTCTTGAAAGATATAGGCTAGGAAATACTATCCGGTTTGATATTGACTAAAGTATTATTGAGCAACCTGTAGTTTGGGATTGAGTTGTATCTTGTAAGACAGATAGATACCTGAGAATACTGATAGAGTTGTATCCAGTTTGATATTGACTAAAATATTATTGAGCGACCTATAGTTTGGGATTTTATCTTGTAAGACAGATACCTCAGGATAGAGAAGGTTATACCTGGATTGGTACTGATCATGCATTTTCTACATACATGTTTCTGGTCTAGCTTTTCAAGGTCACCTCATTAAAAAAATTATTTCTCTAGTTTAAATGTTAAGGGTACTATAGGTAAATTCAAAAAGTACGTTGGAAAAGTGTTGAAAAACTCTTATTTTTACTTTTAACAAATGTTAAAATGAGATCAATGTTATTGCTTACATTTTTAGATCTGTATCTTAGTTGAGAAAAACCTAATCAACTGTTTTTGATTTTTTTAACACTGACCAGCCGTCCAGCCGTTTATCCGTCCTGGACCCTACCACATACATCCACATTGTTTTATTTCAACAACCCCCTCCCCCCACACTCCAATCGTGATAGGGCCAAACTAAAGCTAGAAAAAAGCACATTGTGGTTTCAAAATAATGTCTGGAGGAACAAAATGCAATAAGTATGAAATGAATGATGCATAAAATTGATTCATAAAAATAATGGCTCGCTGGATCAGTGAATAAAAACTTTCGCAGTTTACGCTGAATTGGGACAGACATCTTTTAAAACAATTTTGAAAATAAAACAGATTGATTATTCTTTTCAATGAGCTTAGGTACAAATATATTTTGAAATATATTTTAAAGATTTCGTGTTTCTAATATGCTGAACCATCTAATACTGATGAGAAGAATGAGAAAATATCATGATCACTTAGACAAAGAAAGTTCTAGAAACATTGATATTCTATGTTATTTCATAATGTTAGGATTTTAGGGTGCTTGCTGTTCCTCTGAAAGTCGGCCATTTTAAATCCTTTTCAAAATTTGGCGGATTTTTCTTTTTGAATTGGCGCATTTTCAAAAAAATAACTCAAACTATTTTCCGGGAACTTTTTCCCATTTTTTATGTTTCACAAACCTTTCCCTGGGTTCAGCCGTTTTGGTGTTTATCGGTTACAAACAAACAAACAGACACCCAGACAAGCAAAGTATATATTAAGATTATTCTTGGTGTTCCTCATTCTGATATCGTTTTTTCCTCTCAAATAAACATAGAATCATTAGTATTCATTATTCATATTTTATTTTTTTTATTTCACAAATCTTTTCTGTTTTCATAAGTCAACGTGACTGTAAAAGTAATTTAAGGGGCTTTTATGTAAATATAGCTATGCCAGATTCACAACTGCACCCTTAAACCCTGCATCCAGGTCAAAAATGGATTTTTGGAAGTTGTTCTCAAGATAAAAAATAATTTCATATCTTTCCCCGCAACATGCAAATAACTTTTGTTGAGAAATCATGAAAAATAAGATAGACTTGAAAAGATCTTAGTAATAAAAAGCCAAGATTGAGTGGAATAATGAAGCATGGTTGTACACAAAACTATATTTGCATTTTAACGATATAAATTGATGAGTGTTGGAACAGCTAAAGTTGATCTAAATACACACAACAGTCGCCTGGGGCAAATATATTTCTATTCGACCCTTCTGATTAGATGCTTTGTGATAACTTCCCCATGGTCTTGGGATATAGAATGGCTGATGATACTGCTTTCTTCTCTGGCTAGACAAATGCCATTTCACTCCTTTCTCCAGGATCAATCCTCCCCTAGCTCTGCTCTTTAATGGTGCCTACTTGATATCTAACAGATAAGAAAGGGTTTGATACCCTTGCGGGTCTAGGCTGTTATATACTCAGGCTGCAAACATACTAAGAATTCAATATCCTCTTGGGCTTGGGTTTTGATTGTTTGGCTTTATTCTTGGATTGGATTGTTTGGCTTTATTTCTCTGCTTGGGAGCAATACACCGTACAGTACTATATACAAAATGGGAACCCTTGGGTTGGGTTCACATCCACTCCTGATTCTATTATCATTTACTGTGGTCATAGATGATAGAATCTTCATCATGGCCGTCTCCATTAAGCATGTTTCAGTGGAGCAACAAGCTCCCCATCACCCTAGGATCCTTTCTTGCCCTTGGTATAACATACTCCGTCCTTTTCTTTAAGGAAAGCTCCTACTCCTCCTACACATCCCAAAATTTTAAACATTGATACCTAATTCATAATCGAGTAAAAAGAGGCTTTCAGGGTACCAATGTCATATTTGCACGGAAGGGGACTTTAAATTACATTTACTTTCCCTTTAAGTCTGACTGAACCAGCTTGTAGAAAATCATAATATAGAAATCTGCTATTTAATCGCTCTGAACTATTTGTTTTATCAAATACCACAATAAGAATTTGGAAAAAGGGTGTTTAGGGGATTTTGACGCCTTTACGCATTTAAAATTTTTTAAGTCTCATTATTCTGATGTAAGACTAAGGCTAAGGCCTCTGAAAAAAAGACTTTTCAGAATAAAAGCTTTGTACAATAAAAGGGGTCAGTTTTCCTTTCTTTTTCTTCTTATAACCACAGTATAAAAAATATGAAAAAAATTCCCTAATTGTAAAAAATATGGTTAACCTCTTTAAGACTCAACAAAAGTCATATTTATTTTTGTTTGAGGTATAAATAAAAGTTTCAGTAAATCCTAAACAGTATCTCCAACTCGAGGAAAAGATTTAGTATTTCTTAAATAAAATAAAATTCCTGAATAAATATTTTCGCCATAAAAAGCTGTCTTCAAAATTAATGTGGTTTTCTAGAATAATATTCATCCTAAACAGAAAAGTTTAAAAAATTGTATAACAAAGGAAAAAGTTTCTGACAAAGCTGCAAAAATGTATTTCAAAAATGTATTTCAAAAATGTATTTCAAAAAGTTTCTAAAAATTAAAAATGTCGAGGTTGCAAGAATATAGATATATATATATATATATATATTATACAGGGTGTCCCACGAAACAAGACTTAAAAGTCGTCTTAGATATTTTATATTATTTGCTGCATTCATTTGCCAACCTTATTTTAGAAGTAAATTCTAGAGTTAACATCACTTAATACCTCTAGTCCTGGCATTTCCAAAACGTTCAGATTTCGATAATTTTTGTTTCAATTAACAATATTGGAATCTAAACGATATCTTTAATATCTCGGTTAATATTGAAAGCACAAAAAAGTCAGACCACAATTTAGAGAATCCAGGAATAAGAGAGTTTTGTGGTTATTGTTTCAAGAATCATTCATGTGAAGTAGATTGACGACTGAATGTCACAAATAAATTCAAAGATCTGAGACAACTTTCAAATCATCTTGCTACTGTCATGTTTCGTGGGATACCCTGTGCCTGTATATTGTATATATTATATATCAATATTCATAAATATGTATAAACATATGAAAATATATATAACACAAAGAAGAACATAATGAGAAAATTCATTAAAAGGTTAAAAAAAATGTATTTAGGAATATCTATGTATAAATTTCAGTTATTTCGTACGTTGAAAACTAACATGGTAGAAGGGAAAAATGGTCCCTTTAGATAAAATTAGCGTTCTTTTCCAAGTTGTTCCATTTCCTTCCGTTTTTTCTTTTAATGTTCGTTAATGAGAATTTTATGTTGATGATGGTTGATCGTTAACGCTAGTTGACCGTTAAAGATAGTTGATCGTCAAATTACAGTTGATTGCTGTTCCTGATTGTTAACGTTAATAATTACAGATCTTTTATTCAACCAATTACTGACGGAACTGACGCCTTTTCAATATTTTCCAGAACATGTTTTATAAAATGTTAAAATTTTGGAACGATGGCATCGTTAACAGGATATCCCGTTCGTTCTCTGAAAGACCGAATGTGATCTGTGTTAACGCGTGGTAAATTCATTTCATTGCATTATTCTATTTAAAGCGTAAATAATTCATTCAATTAATTTTTATGATTATCCTTGAAATATTACAAATTACAATCCATAATTTAGAATTTGATTCAGGTTATTAGAATGTTGTTGACAAACCATACTATTTTTTTAAATTTTACGACTGAAGCTGGATTTTCGAACATTTTTTGGAAAATATGAAAATGTCGTCTCCGTTATTGAAAATCCTCCAAATTTTAGGCCTGAATACTTACATTGAAATAATATCCAAGATACCAAGCTTAACTGCATTGTTAAATTTATATCTTTTTACTTCAAGTTAAAGTTGACATTTAATATAAAAGTTGACGTTAAATATTTTTAAATGCATTGTCAATTAAGAAATTTAAAAAGGAAAATAGAACATTATTTGCACTGTTAGACTTGTAATACAGTGAGGACTGTAAAGTGTACAGTACTAGACTTCTAATACAGTAGCGACTGTACACTGTACAAAGCTTTACTTGTAATATAGTAACGGCTATACAGTGTACAGTGCTAGATTTGTAAAACAGTGAGGACTGTACAGTGTACAGTGCTAGATCTGTGATGCAGTAATTGCTGTGCAGTGTACGGTGCTAGAATTGTAATACAGTAACGGCTGTAAAGTGTACAGTGCTAGATTTGTAATACAGAAACGGCTGTACAGTGTACGGTGCTAGATTTGTAATACAGTAACGGCTGTACAGTGTACAGTGCTAGATTTGTAATACAGTAACGGCTGTACAGTGTACAGTGCTAGATTTGTAATACAGTAACGGCTGTAAAGTGTACAGTGCTAGATTTGTAATACAGTAACGGCTGTAAAGTGTACATTGCTATACTTGTAATGAAGTAACGGCTGTACAGTGTACGGTGCTAGACTTGTNCCCCCCCCCCCCCCTTCTTGTTTTGTTTGCCCTACCACTCCTATTTTTTACACTATTACCGAAATAAGAAATTGTAATGTAAAGAATTTTTTGTAAAATTTTGCAAGTTTTATCTTTAAATTATTTTTTTTTATTATTAGGCTAAGCTAAACATTACATATCAGAAAAGCCTTTTACGGGCAGCCATATTACATTTGAATTTCCGAGCCGGGTCAACCTTTCCGGTCCCTGTTTGTTCTGTACCTAGCTCTATGTACAGGACTAGCCGGTGCAACAAGGTTGACGTGGTTAGACTTTATGCTTCATATAGGTTGAATTTACTTTTACTAAAGGGGCAGATTTGCGTGCTTTATTTAGGATTAATAGTGTATGTTGTATAAACATGTGTCAAATTAATTATATTTGTCACAAATGATAATTAGTTTTTTTTATGAAACAATAATCTAAAAATAGACATAGCTTTCTGCCGTTTGCAAAATGTGGTCTATCTTTTTCTTAAAATTACCAGATTATTGAATAATATAATGTAACGTCTAATTCTGAATTTTTAATCTCCGGTAGTTATTAAACCACATACTTCTTTTGTAATTACTAATTATTGTTACATACAAAAAACTGCTAACATTAGGTAGTCAAGTGAATGCCGTACTATTTTATTAATGGAAAAGACAACTTTTAATTCTTTCACCAATTATAGAATTCTTCTTATTCATTTCTAACAGCACAGTAGAAAAATAAACCAGACAGAATTCCATTTTTAATTACAGCAATATCTCAATTATTTAAAATATTTAGAATCCTTGCAATATTCTTCATTCATTATTTTTTATTATTTTTGATAGAAACATATATCTGAATAAATTATTCCTTAAAATGAATACTTACAAATAACATTTGTGAGAGCCATGATGTAATTTTTTGCTGAAATATTCTTTATTTTAAAATTAAGTTCATTTCCATATACCAAAATTTGAAAACAAATTTAAAAGAGCGAATTTCTTAAATACTTTTAACAAATTTGTTTTTACTACAAACAATCTTTGCAACCCATCGCGCGTAGTTAACTTGACATGTTTTATTAAAATATGAATTCTATTAGATCAAATAATCTAAGTTTTGATAATCAAAAGGTTACACCATCCGGTTGCAAAGATAAAGAGATTAGAAAATTTGAGTTTGTGTTAAAACTCAATTCCTTTGTAAATTAACTAGCATGTGTAAACATATACAATGCTCTTGAAGGAATTATAACTGGAGAATTTCTTTTAAAGTAAAAACTAAATTTGAAATGATTTGAACTCTTCCACATGTGTACTGCACTATGTTTGAAACCAAATAAAGATTATATTCCTAATGAAAGGGTTTCTAATTTAGATAGTTTCCTCGACTGATGAACATGAGGAATTACTTCTCTCAGACTCTGAAATAATAAAAATGATTTAATAGATAAAAAATACTGGCAGGAGTGCCCGGGGTTGCCAATGGAATTTTAAAAAATCGTATTTTGAAAATAATCCGACTTTTGAAAAAGAAAATAGATTTTTTTAAGAAAAAAAATTGTTTGGGGTTTCCAAATAAAATGTCAGCTCATTCGGTCCGGCCGTTTGGCCAGCTATTGCTCACATATATATACATATATAAATAAGCGAATAGCTTCCTTATATAACTTACTGACAATAAACACGTTAAAATAAAGTATTTTTAACATTGAAATCTTTTTTGTTTTAATACATAACTCCTCTCATTATAGAGCAATTGAAACAATAAAGATTTCTTTAATTTCAAATGAATCCTAAAGAATTTGTCCACAACACTGCATACATAGTTTAACTACCTTACATAGCCGGTCTGTCCCTTTAAACCTTTATCTGAGTATTACAGTCTAGTATAGTATACTGTTTACCTGAAATGCATGATTGAGTTCATGCATACGAATTCTCTCTCTAAAATTACCTGAGTATTACAGTCTAGTATAGTACTTTTTACCTGAAATGCATGATTGAGTTCATGCATACGAATTCTCTCTCTAAAATTGCTTTCTTGTCTTCTTGTTCTTCTATCCTGTGCAGCAATCTATATAATGATATACAGGGTGTCCCATTAAACATGGGAATTGAGAAACGACTTGAAATTCGTCTTTGATTTCTGATATTAAATGTATATCAAAGAAAGTAAAAAAACGAGGCTGTACGTTTGTCGAGCTTTTCATAAATTTCATTTTTTATCTTCAAAATTGATGAAGATATTAGATATTAATACAATTTTGATTTATTTAATAAATGACATTTGTACAAATTTTGCAAAATCTCCGTCAATTTTGAAAATAAAAAAATGGTAGACCACATTTTGAAAAACTCAAGACCAGGCGTTTTCGATATCAGATGTTTGAGCTTAAATACTGCAATAAAAAATGCCGCAAGGATCGAAGACGATATAAAAGTTGTCACTGAATTCCCATGTTTATTGGGTCACCTTGTACTTAGATATTGTAAGGGAAAGAACTACTAACTACTTGATTGCGGATTTATGTTTTCTTGTTCCCGTATTTCCTCTTTCTGTGTTAGATGATATCTGGTCGCTACAATACAATACTAATAACACTTGGATTTTAACCTTATCCCGCGATTGGACCATTTTAGTCTAATATAGATTCATTTAACAATTTGAGTTGTAAAAACACCCCCTCTCAACCCAAATCGGAATAGGGTTAATCAGACATTTTTGCTTTTGTTTTTAGTACTAATAACTCTATTTCTCTTGTTTATGTATAAAGAAGATTAAAAATAACTCTCTCGGAGAAATAGCGAAATAGCTGATAATCATCCAAATAGAATATTTACTAAGGAAAGATAGATTGATATATATATATATAGATAAAAAGGCATAAATGTCTGTAAGATAATAAGTTTTCAAACTAAGCTTGAAGGGGGGGAGGGGGGGAGGGGTGTTAACTAAACAGATAATCAATACTTAATTAAAGGGGCAGATTTGCGTGCTTTATTTAGGATTAATAGTGTATGTTGTATAAACATGAAAAGAATTAACCCCCCCCCCTGAAAAAATTTAACACCCTTCATTATAATTACCCCGCAATAACCATCCCTTATATACACCTCTGGAGTCATAAAATGTAAAAGATTCTTCTTAAACCTTTTTTAGTTCATCTGTATCTGAATTTAGGGTTAGTAAACAATGATGATCGTATATACTGGTTTAGACTAGACAATATCAAACTAGGCTTTCCTCGGAATAAAATTCTTGGATAAACATTTAATATATTTCCATTTTAACATTAATAACAGACATATTTCTCTAAAAATATATTCACATCAATATAATGTTTTACACTCGTTCACAACATTTTTTGGGATTTAAATAAATTGAAAAAAAGTAAATTCATGCGAAAAAATCCCCAAATTACAACAAAGTTTCTTGCTTTTTGTAAATTGCAAATAATTCGCTGGTAATATTCGTTCATTTAAATTAAGGGTTTTCTTTTAAATTACAAAATATAGATTTGGACAAAAAAATAAACAAAATTGCGCTATATCCGTTTGTTCTTTGTGTACAATTTCTATAACTTTCGGTAATTTTTATAATTCACAGTCTTTTAGTTCGTTAAATGGCTGAAGAAATAGTTATTTTTTTCGTCAATTTCAAAAACATTTATTCAAAGTTTTCAGCGCTAATTCGTTTTTTTGTTTGTTTTCTCCTTAGGTTAGACCAGCAAATAGTTTACATAGTACATAGTTCAAGTAAAGGCTATACAATACATTTAATAATAAGCGTACAATCATATTTTTACCAATTTTGGACACTATGTTCTCAGTTATCCTAATTACAATTAATATTTGCAATTAATTCTCTTTTAATCATTTAAGAACATTACTTAGTTACACAGTCCTGGATCTTTACAAGCATAGTATATTTATTTACAATTATCAACATTTATCAAAATTTACATTTAATTCTTTTTACTTAAAGCTTTGGGACAAAACTATAATCAAACATTGATATACTGACTAATTTGTCAATGACTAGTTTAAAATGCATTCTTGAATGTTGAAGATGATATGTTTCTATGATATTTTACAAATGTTCTTAGTTTAAGAGAAACACTAGTTTATGTACAGGGAGTCCCAAGAAACATGGGAATTGACTAAAGAGTTCGAAATCTTCACTCAATTCCCATGTTTATTGGAACACCCTGTAATATTTCATAAATAAGTATATTTAGATGAATGCATGTACAGTTTCAGATAAGTTTCCCCTAATGAATTAATGAATAGGTGAATGGATGAAAAGATGAATGAATACAGCTTATATCTCAAGTGTCTGAAACAACAAATACAAGTTTATAAAATGTATAATTGTTACACACATCAGTAATATTTAACGATAAACAATTTCTTTGAGTAAGTTTCTAATCAATGTTATTAGAGTTCCCTGCTACTAATATCATGATGTATAATAATATAAAAGATATACTATATATAAACTATATATACCCTAATTATAAAAAAAAACAATATTTACAAAATAAAAGTTCCAAAACTTTGTAAGAGGATAAGTATCTTTATCTTACTAGAAATCAATAGAAATACAAGGTTTCCCACAAAGGATGATACATCAAAAACGACATTAGACTCCTTAAAAAAAACGAATTGGAGGCTAAACCTAGTTTCCTATGTAGAATCCTGGACAGTTGAAACTGAAATTTGGTCGAAAATGTTTATTTATTATTCTGGTCTTTGGTTTACATTGAAACACCAACCCTGTATTAAAACGTTTAAAGCTTTTATTTATTTAATACAAAAGAATACAGATTCCAGGCGGCTAGAAGGGGATACTGTTAAGGACTAAATAGGGCTACAGATAACTAGAAAGGACTTAAAAAACTGCAAAGGTCTGCAAAAGGCTTTGGAGGACTATAAAGGTCCACAGGGGGATCTAGAAAAGACTGCAGAGGACTGGAGATGACTAAAATGGACTGAAGAGGATTGGAGAGACCTAGAAAAGACTGCAGAGGACAGGAGAGGACTAAAATGGACTGAAGAGGATTGGAGAGACCTATGGGGGGGTTGGAAGTAGAAGGGTTTTCAATTTCCTGTTATTCTGTGACTCAATCAAAGGTTTAAGATTAGCTGTGTGTGAACCTGGATACAAATGATATCTAATCTAGCTTTATCTAGATCTAACTTTATCTAAATCTAGCTTTATCTAGATCTAACTTTATCTACATAGATATAACTTTATCTAAATCTTGCTTTTTCTACATAGATATAACTTTATCTAGATCTAGCTTCATCTAGATCTATAGCTATTGAAATCTAAATATAGTTATTTTAAAAAAGAGCTATATAGCTATAATCTAGATTTAGCTATTTGTCTTTATCTATATTTAGTTATGTTTAACTATTTTTCTCTATCTATATTTAGCTTTATTTAGCTATTTGTCTCTATCTTTATTTAGCTATATTTAGCTATTTGTCTTTATCTATATTTAGCTATATTTATATATTTGTCTCTATCTATATTTAGCTATTTGTCTCTATCTTTATTTAGCTATTATTTTGATATTTTATAATTTATGAACGGGGTTGAATAAGTTTGTATTTGCTGACTTGAATGTTAAACCATGGAAATGCTTTTACAAGAAAAAATGCAACCTCAAATTGAAAACTTTTCAAAGAGGAAATTTTAAATTATATTATATTGGATTAGCATATAAATTATTACATAAAAATAATATTAAAAAACTTAGCTCTTGTAACAAACTTCGTTTCTTAATTTTTATATTTTAAACTATGAAATCTGGAATATCAAAGAATTACATCATCAGGTTGCAAAGATATAAGGTTGATAAAACTTGAATGATTTAGTATTTTACCTTTCTCTCCCTAGTTGAAACTTTTCTTCTATCCATATCACATGATTCATTCCTATGATAATACATTTAATAATTTAATCATTAAACCCCACATACAGGCTTTAAACATTAATTCAAGTCAACCTTCATTATTCACTCATTAAACCCTTAATACAGGCTTTAAACTTTAATTCAAGTCAACTTTCATTATTCAGTCATTAAACCCCAAATACAGGCTTTAAACTTTAATTCAAGTCAACCTTCATTATTCCCTCATTAAACCCTTAATACAGGCTTTAAACATTAATTCAAGTCAACCTTCATTATTCAGTCATTAAACCCTTAATACAGGCTTTAAACTTTAATTCAAGTCAACCTTCATTATTCCCTCATAAAACCCTAAATGCAGGCTTTAAACGTTAATTCAAGTCAACTTTCATTATTCACTCATTATTCACTACATCATTATATGTTTTAATTCAACTATAGATATTCACATAATGTTAAAATGATGTTTCTATTTTTGGAAAACTATTTTTTGTTGCTAAATTAACGCATTTACGACAAAGTTGTTTAACTGTGGGCTTCCATAACTTTCTTATTTCATTGATTGATTATTTGCATGATTGATTGATTGATCAATTCATTGATTAATCAATTAATTGATAAATTGATTAATTGATTAATTAATTGATTATTTAATTGATTGATTGATTGATTGATTGATTGATTGATTGATTGTCCAATTGATTAATGAATTGATTATTTAACCTGTTCTCTAGATCTGATCCACCTTCACTAGAGTTACAAGAGTCTCCAGAATTCTTTTCCATTCTAGATAGATATATATACATATACATATATATGTATATAATACAGCTCTTCGCTCCTACATATTTATTTGTATGTAAGGGTGTATATATATATTTACATATATTAGTCATAGCTGACCAAACGGCTGGACCGAATTAGCTGACATGGGTACCCGGAGGTGCGGTAACATAGGCTTAAAAAACTGAGACTTTCTATTTCAAATTAGAATTCATTTTTAAAAAATTCAAAACTTCTTTTAGAATTTTTTAAATTCGAATTTTTTCTTCAACATTTTTTTCATTCCACGGGCAACGCCGCGCCGGGCACTTGAGCTAGTATATATAAATTGTTAGGTAAATATAAAGATACATAGATAGATAGACACGTATATAGATAGGATGAGTAAAATGATCAGAATTTCAATTTGATTTCAATCTTCATGTTTCCGAGTTCTACTTTAAACTTTTTCTTCTGTTCTAAATAAAGTTTACTCAATGCATACAAATATAAGATATCCTTGAATACATATATTGGAAAATATAAAATCTAAATTGAGGAAAAGATTTCAAAGATCAAGATTTTATATATTGTTTATCAAGAACTCTATTACTCTATTACTCCATGTCGAGTAATATCGAGCCTTTGCCCCCTCCCCTACTATTCCCCCTGGACCCTCCCCTCCCTTTCTACTGTTTTCTGATATAAGAAGTGCGAACTTTAAATGGATTTAATTAATCCATGAGTTAGATAATTAATGAATTAACATTAAGTAAAAGGACATTATCTATAAGCGATCTCAGCTTTCATTGAGGCAACTTCCGTGTGCCTTTAAATCAGCATTAAATTGTATACTGTAGAGGAAGAAATCCACGAACGAGGATCATCAGATCTGCAAATCAGTAGTGTCGGATCCTGGAACCAGAGAAGACCTACTCAACTCCCTCTCCTTTTATACACTCGTTATTTATGATGTAATTATATCTAGAAGTACTTCTAAAGTGGTGACCCTAGACAGCAAACTAACCATGGCCGATAACACTGCGTTCTGGTTGGAAACAGCTCAAGAATTGGACGAGGATGATAATCTCAAGTTTAAACTTCTTATTCACAAATTCACTATTCCTTCATCCTACAATCAGTTTCTCCTGGAGCTATAAATAAGCTGAACCTTAGCTACTCCCGGAGCAAATAAGCTAAACTTCAGCTACTCCCGGAGCTAATAAGCTAAACCTTAACTACTCCTGGAGCTAATAAGCTGAACCTTAGCTACTACTGGAGCTAATAAGCTAAACCTCAGCTACTCCTGGAGCTAATAAGATAAACTTCAACCCTCCAGAAACTAATCAGCTTCACTGCTAGCTACTCCTGGAGCTAATTAGTTACACAGCAACTTCCTGAGTTAATCAGCTAAACAGCTACTTCTGGAGCTATTAAGCAACTCAGCTACCATCTTTAACCTATCATCACCAGAACTCATTAAAATCCTTTTCTGTAAAAACTTCATGTATTAATATCACAGAAGCAATAAATGTACTTCTAAAATACCTGCATAATAAATATATTTGAATAATGTAGTATCATGCACATTGAATATGTTTGTATCATGTTGTTTATATGGAATATATCAGTATCATATAGTATCATGAATATTGAATATATCTGTATCAAGTGGTATAATGTATAATAAATATATCTGTATCAAGTAGTATTATGAATATTGAATATATCTGCATCATGAAGTATCATGTACAGTATCATGAAAATTGAATATATCTGTATCATGTAGTATCATGAATATTGAATATATCTGTATCATGTTGTTTAATGTATATTGAATATATCTGCATCATGTAGTATCATGAATATTGAATATATCTGCATATCATGAATATTGAATATATCTGCACCATGTAGAATCATGAATATTGAATATATCTGCATTATGAAGTATCATGAATATTGAATATATCTGTATCATGTAGTATCATGTAGTATCATGTACAGTATCATGAAAATTGAATATATCTGTATCATGTAGTATCATGAATATTGAATATATCTGTATCATGTTGTTTAATGTATATTGAATATATCTGCATCATGAAGTATCATGAATATTGAATATATCTGCATCATGTAGTATCATGAATATTGAATATATCTGCATCATGTAGTATCATGAATATTGAATATATCTGGACCATGTAGAATCATGAATATTGAATATATCTGCATCATGAAGTATCATGAATATTGAATATATCTGTATCACGTAGTATCATGTAGTATCATGTACAGTATCATGAAAATTGAATATATCTGTATCATGTAGTATCATGAATATTGAATATATATGCATAATATAGTATCATGAATATTGAATGTATCTACATCATGAAGTATCATGAAAATTGAATATATCTGTATCATGTAGTATCATGAATATTGAAAATATCTGCATCTTGTAGTATCTTGAATATTGAATATATCTGCATCATGAAGTATCATGAATATTGAATATATCTGCATCATGTAGTATTATGAATATTGAATATATCTGCATCATGTAGTATCTTGAATATTGAATATATCTGCATAATGAAGTATCATGAATTATGAAAATATACCTGCATCATGTAGTATACATAAATATTGAATATATCTGCATCATGTAGTATCATGAATATTGAATATACCTGTATCATGGTAGTATAATGTAGTATCATGTACAGTATCATGAAAATTGAATATATCTGCATCATGAAGTATCATGAATATCGAATATATCTGTATCAAGTAGAATCATGAATATTGAATATATATGCATAATATAGTATCATGAATATTGAATGTATCTACATCATGAAGTATCATGAATATTGAATATACCTGTATCATGTAGTATCGTGAATATTGAATGTATTTGCATCATGTAGTATCATGAATATTGAATATATCTGCATCTTGTAGTATCATGCATATTGAATATACCTGTATCTTGTAGTATAATGAATATTGAATACACCTGTATCATGGTAGTATATGTAGCATCATGTACGAAATCATGAAAATTAGATATATCTGCATCATGTAGTGTCATGAAAATTTAAAATGTCAGCATCATGTAGTATCATGAATATTGAATATATCTGCATCATGCAGTATCATGAAAATTGAATATATCTGCATCTTGTAGTATCATGAATATTGAATATATCTGCATCATGTAGTATAATGTATATTGAATAAATCTGCATCATGTAGTATCATGAATATTAAATATATCTGCATCGTTTAGTACGATGTAGTATCATGTAGTATCATGAAAATTGAATATATCTGTATCATGTAGTGTCATGAATATTAAATATATCTGCATCTTGTAGTATCATGAATATTGAATATACCTGTATCATGAATAAGTAGTCGTATTAGGAAAAAATAAAAGTAAAAGATTTCCTTATCAGGTCTAACTATCTATCTATCGAGGTTTATATCTATCTATCAATGTATCTACCTATTTCATATATTTCTGACGTCATCAAATATTCCCTCTGCCGTTGATTAGAATCAATAAAATAGAATAGAAAAGTAGGAAAGAGTAGAATAGAATATATATATAATATAATAGGAAGTTGTGGAATAGGATCAAATATATATGGAATGGTTAGAATAGGAGTAGGAATAGGATAGGTAGAAGCATAGTTGGCTAGAATAGATAGGAAGAAGAAGAATAGGATTGAATAGAATTGGAAGAAGTAAAATCGGAAACAGAAAATAGGCAGGATAAAATAGAAAAGAAATGAATTGAAAGAATAGAAAGAATAGAATAGGATAGAAAAGAATAGAAAAGAGTGTAGTAGGAAATTTGGATTGAACAGAATAGGAATGATCTAAATAGGATACATTATATATAATAATAGGAAGAAATGAATAATTAAATGAATAAATAAAGGATAACAAAGAAAATTAGAAATGATAAATTGGAAAGAAATAGAAAAACAAGAAATTTTAAAAATAAATAATACAATTTCTGTTCCTAATAAAAATTCTAATTATTTCATTGTTTTCATCAATATTCTGTGATTTTGTTTTGACCAATAAATTATAAATAAAATTTCTCTATTTATTCATATTTTTCTAATGGAATTATTTTCTAGAAATCTTAATATTATTTCTTCTTTATTTTTTTCATAACATCTTTTAAAACGTTAAGATTCATTTCATTCCACTTTGAAAAAAAAACGAAAAACCTGCAAATACGTCCATTTTTGATCAGAAGTTAGGAAAGGTAGAATAAGGGAATACAAATATACAAGTTGTCCAAAAAAGCTCTCATCTCTGTTTTTAAAATTTTGGACAGTTTTGAAATCTATGCAACTGAAAAAGTCACCAGTACAAGGGAAAACAATCTTCTTTAAAGATTTATTAATTTTGTTATTATTGGAACCGAGTTGAATTTCTGAATTCAAATCAATTTACAGAATTGAAAAATATTGGAGATAGGTATAACAAACCGCTTAATTTGAGTACTTTATATCATTGAGATAAAAAACGTTTTTTTACCATAACTTGTCAAATTTTTAATATTTTTCAATTCTGTGAAATGCTTTGAACTCTGGTTTTCAAATCGGTTCAGTTACTGATTTTTGTTCACAGGTTTTATCATTAAACCTATTTGAGGGAAACATTTTTGAATTTTGTGAAAAATTTAAATATATTTTATAACATACACTCAAGTGGAATATTATATTGCTTATGTAAAATGAATTCAGAAAAATGTCTCTACCCTAGTATTTTGATTGGTTAAGTTGGATAATATCTTTTCTTTTCTTGCATGTTATGTGATTTCAATAGTGGTTCTTAAAATAGAAATTGTAAAATCAAAGTCTGATCCATAAAACCATAAAACCCTATGGAGCTAAGTGATTTGAAAGTTGCATTTTGCATTGGAGTGGGACATTGAATATTTGTATATTAATATGTTAGCTATAGCTGGCTTCGAAAAAAGGAAATTTTCAGTTGTTACATGCAGATTAGGCTGTGTTTAATTCAAATCGGGTTTTTTCTTGTGTTTTTAACAAATTTGTTCTTCCAACAGCTGTGAATTGAACGATATAAGTCAATTCGTTGAATGTGTACGACTACGTGAAGCGCAAAAGAAAAGTTGTTCAGTACCTATGGTTTAATTCCAGATTTAATCACAAGAAATAATCATTTATATTTTCTGAAAAAATACATATAACCCATAAATAGTCTAAACCCCCTCTCAGGTGCGGGAAGGGCAAGCGTATGCCCTCCCTCTAATTGCGCCTCTGGAAACGGAAGGACCAAATTCTTTTTTATTTCACGACAACGCCGGGCGCTCCAGCTAGTTTTTAAATATGCAGAGATCTATCAAGAATTATTAAATAATTATAAATTCATGATAATTATTCATATAAATGGAAAACTTTAAAGAATAATATAATAATGATAACAATACAATAATTGTAATGTATTAATTGTTCTAAATAAACGTCAGGAGGGGATTGCATGAAACGAAGTGTATTTATAGACTATATTTAACCATGTATATAGATAGACTGTATTTAACCATGTATATTGTATAGACTGTATTTAACCATGTATATTGTATAGACTGTATTTCACCATGTATATTGTATAGACTTTATTTTACCATGTATATTGTATAGACTGTATTTAACCATGTATATTGTATAGACTGTATTTAACCATGTATATTGTATAGACTGTATTAAACCATGTATACGGTATAGACTTTATTTAACCATGTATATTATATAGACTGTATTTAACCATGTATATTGTATAGACTGTATTAAACCATGTATACGGTATAGACTTTATTTAACCATGTATATTATATAGACTGTATTTAACTTCACTGATTTAAAATTTGCACATCAAATTTTTACGCGTCATTTTACGCATTGTTTTAATTACTAAATAGCCAACTATTTATATAGAAATTATAATTTCATTAAACGACATATTTAATTATATGTTTGTGTTTTTTAAAAAAATAAGGCTAATTATATTGGGTTTCTTTTCCCAATCGGTAACTCGATAAGCAAAGTATATTCACATTTACAGGTTCATCTTCTATTTTAACTTTTAATTGTTTCTCAATCTTCAGCATTTTCTCTTCGATAAAAGAATAACAAATTTTTCGAATTTACAATTTTATTTTCGTGGAATTAATTTTTTTTTTGGAAATTTTGTTTTTGAAATTCCGAGCAACCATAATCCTTCCCTGGGATCATGTAAGGTCCCACACAAAAATTTTGGCCATATCTGTTCAGTCGTTTTGACGCTTATCAGTCAAAAACAAACGAACAGAAAAATACAGACAAGCAAAGTATATATATATATATATATAGAAGAACTGTCGACGAGATTGTTGAATGCAGAATATACAGTGTACATGTACACTATTCCTGCTCTTGGTACACTCGTCTTTCCTCGAAAAGATAAAAGTAAAACAATATATTCTGTATATATAAAGTTGTAATCTATGTTTGTCCGTTTGTCCTATCATAACTCAGGAACCCCTGGACCGATTCGCCTCAAATTTTGATTGGGGAACTCGGGGAACCCACGGGAATGTTCTTAGCTTGGGTTTGAGATTCTAAATTGAGTGGGTCGGCTTTAATAGCGAAAATTTAGTTTCCCGGTAAAATCTTTCCAGTGCGGGTAAACGGTGAGAGTATCTTTTAGTACCCTGAGCAGCGCTGGGTTCCCAAGGTAGTTCTTTTAGTACCCTGAGCAGCGCTGGGTTCCCAAGCTAGTTCTTTTAGTACCCTGAGCAGCGCTGGGTTCCCAAGGTAGTTTAATGAAATGGTAAAAAAGGAGAAATATGATTGCATGCTTGAACTTTCTTATAAGGTAAGAACATCAAGCTAAGTTATTTATTGATTCCCACCCTCCCAACAATATAAGAAATATGATTAATCAGATTTGTTGGAAGAGTATCTTTACATTATTACATTTATTATCTTTACTTACAGAGAAAGATTAGGATAAGCGCAGTAAAAAAGGTCAAATAAATAAATAAATACGAATTATAGAGAAATATAAAGAATAAGAGAGAGCAAGGTTACAAGAGAAAACAGAAAATGAAAAATAAGATTATTTTTTAAGAAAGCAATTTTTTATGTTTTGACTAAAATTGTTACCTAGACGAGGCAAACTGTAACATTTCTGTATTACAGATTTAACCAGGTATATTTATAATGTACTAGGCGTTTAGGGCACTTCGCGCCCATCTTCTTTTTAATAGTGAACATTTTCTCTTTGTATGCATTGTGTAAAACAGAAACTAAAAAGTTCGCGGATTTTATCAAACAAAATTTGTTGATTTTCAAAAATTTTCAAGTTTTTCTTTGCTTTCTATCTTTTTCATATTAATAAAACAACCCTGGTTCATACCTCGACATGTCTGTGTGTAGGAGTAGAATAAACTGAATCAACAGGAGGTTCACAGCCTCCACTGTGGGCCCGGGATTAGCCTACTGCCCCCCTACCCCATGGGCCCGGAAAAAAAACGAAAAAAAAAATGCATTTAATTTTTTACTCTTTTTAGCTTTGTGAAAAACTCTCTTTGTAAAATTTTGTTGATATAATTTTCAGGGTCCACTGATCCAACATTCATTCTAACTGATGTTTAAAGAATACTAAATGTTGGTGGTGAAATACTATAATGCATTTTGATGTTTACTTTTGAAATCTGTTAATAATACAATATATATATAAACAATTACGTTTACAATTACAATATGTTTAATACAATGGATGTGCTATGAATAATGTTTACAAGTTTAATACAAAATGTAATTTTTGAAGACTTTAATTTTTGTAGCTGTTTAGTGAGGAGTTCATGATGGGTTTATATCAGCTGTTTTGACGTCGATCAGATCTAATCAAACCTAATACCAATCAACTAACATATAAATCAAATACATTTGTACATCTACAGAAGTAACCTGAAATCATTTAAAACTATACAATATTTCTTGTTAGAAAACAGGCAAAATTTCTGAAATCCACAAAATTATAAAAGCTTGTGGTTTATGTAAAATTTACAGTAGATGAAGTACAACTGGCGGTTATATATATATATAGTTGTGTAAAACAGGAAGTACATACAAGTTTACAACTCATGTTGATATAGGATAGTACAACTGGCGGTTATATATAGTTGTATAAAACAGGAAGTACATAGAACTGATATTGATATAGGATAGTACAACTTGCGGTATATAGTTGTGTAAAACATAAAGTACATACAAATCATGTTGATATAGGATAGTACAACTGGCGGTTTATAGTTGTGTAAAACATGAAGTACATACAACTCATGTTGATAAAGAATAGTACAACTGGCAGTAAATAGTTGTGTAAAACATGAAGTTCATACAACTGATGTTGATATTGGATAGCACAACTGGCAGTATATAGTTGTGTAAAACATGAAGTACATACAACTCATGTTGATATAGGATAGTACAACTGGCAGTATATAGTTGTGTAAAACATGAAGTACATACAACTGATGTTGATATAGGATAGTACAACTGACAGTATATAGTTGAGTAAAACATTAAGTTCATACAACTCATCATGGTGATATAAGATAGTACAACTGGCAGTATATAGTTGTGTAAAACATGAAGTTCATACAACTCATCATGGTGATATAGGATAGTACAACTGACAGTATATAGTTGTGTAAAACATGAAGTACATACAACTGATGTTGATATAGGATAGTACAACTGTCAGTATATAGTTGTGTAAAACATGAAGTACATACAACTCATGTTAATATAGGATGTACAGTACATGAATGGATGAATCCTTCTATTATTTCCAGGCAAATGTTTGAACCTGATACAGAGCTCTTAATTCTCTATTAATTGATGAAATCTGATCTAGTGTTCAATTAATAGATGCTATACGGTCAAGTTACCTAGAACGTGGCGAGCTGGGGAAGGCAGTTGGCCATGAGCCACCACTATTTCCTCTTCCGGGCCACATATTAGCTTTTTACTCTTCCGGCAGCCATGAGCCACCACTATTTCCTCTTCCGTACCACCACATTTGACTCTTCCGGCCAAAACTGCTTTTTTAAATGGTACATTAGAAGTGTGATTTTAAAAAATCCAGCTGCGTCACGCAAAAAAGCACCACTCAGACCATTTTTTAAATTCTACATACGATTAATATATCGTTTGTTTCAGATTTTAGTAGGTAAATTTTTTGTGTTGTGGGAGCAGAGAAAAATTGTTCGGAGCAGTCTGAAGAATAAGAAAATATTATTAAAATCACGATATTTACTGTCATTACTTACGCGTTACAGATTTGATCAAAAAAAAGTATTTTAGCAATTTTTCTCTAAATACATTGCACATTTTTATACTAAAGTGTATTTTATGGTGTGTCATTTTTAATATTCATATTGCTCTCAAAAATAAGTCATTTTTTATGAAATCAGAATTTAGATTTGCAAAAAAAAAAGATTTGCAGTTCACATTAAGAGGAATCATCATGTTTTCATATAAAGACTTTAATATAAAGATTTAAATATACATTTTTTGTGTGACGCGGCTTGATTTTTGAAAATCACACTTTAAAGGCCTTAAATATATCATTTAAAAAATTAGCTTAGACCGGAAGAGTCAAATGTGGTGGTGAGGAAGAGGAAATAGTGGTGGCTCATGGCTGCCGGAGGAGAAAAAAGCTAATATGTGGCCCGGAAGAGGAAATATGGGTGCCCATGGCCGGTTGCCTTCCCCCGCTTACGTGGCTATTAGCCTGTATCTGTTTTAGTCGACTAACAGTAACAGTGATCCAAATGGGGCAGCCTCCCAATAACAAAGTGCTTAAGTATTCTAAAATGTTCATATGTCTGGGTCACAAAAAAATATGAGTGTTTCATGTGGTACAATCTAAGGTTAAGGAGTTGCAATAGATCATATTTGATCAAATCTTGAAAATGAATGCGACTTTTTATATCACTCATGAAAAACTGGGCTGGGATTAAAAATGCAAAGCATTGTAACGTAAACTCTAAAATATTAAAGGCGGAACTTCAATAAAACATGCCCATGACAAACACAATGTAAGCAACTATTATCTGGATTAACTCCAAATGGTTATATGTATTTTGGTTCTGTACAATAGATTCACGGAAAACGATGAAAAAATTAAAACTCCTTATTTTTAGATGTCACTTATTTAACATAAATTTCCCTAGACGGGAATGATTTACTTGCTGTTTGACCTGTTTTGTTAAAGTCTGTTTGTGTATTCATTCCCAGGTTTCTTTAGCTGTCTCAAAATCGGCCCGGTACAGTGATCTACATCCAGTATAGATCAAATACAGCTTTATGCTTAAAATATTGTAAATTACAGTGATCTACATCAAGTATAGATCAAATACAGCTTTATGCTGGAAATATGTAAATTACAGTGATCTACATCCGGTATAGATAAAATACAACTTTATGCTGGAAATATTGTAAATTACAGTGATCTACATCCGGTATAGATCAAATACAGCTTTATGCTTGAAATATTGTAAATTACAGTGATCTACATCCGGTATAGATCAAATACAACTTTATGCTTGAAATATTGTAAATTACAGTGATCTACATCCGGTATAGATCAAATACAACTTTATGCTGGAAATATTGTAAATATTGGAAATATTGTACACCATCAGGAAGCAAAGATAAAGGGATTAGCATATTAGAGTTTATTGAGAGTGTTTATTTTCTTTCACCATTAATCTATCAAGTAACGTAAATCAACAAAATCCGCGGAAATGTTGCTAAATCAAGATATAAAAATACAACTAAAATATAAAATAATAAATTCTAAAACTAAATTGTTCCTTGTTATATATTGGAAAACTTTCAGCATTTATTAATTTTTTTTACAAAAACCACAAAGTTCTATGAAANGGGGGCATTCTTAAATAATTAGATGATAGAAGAACTGCAAATATTTTGACATTTCTGCTTTTCTTGATCTCCAATATCTTCTTGTTCATGTCTCTTCCTTCATGTTTGGCTAATTTTGAAAAAGACATTTTTATTTTTGACCGCACCCTTTCAATAATAGTTCAAACATTTTAACAGGTTAATGTTATTTTTGGTTAAATTATAATTTTACTGACAAAAAATTTGAAATTTAAAATTCTATTTAATAATTTTTTAATTTTACAATTAATCTTCAATATCAATTTATTCTTTAAGGTATTTTGGAAATTTAAATCTTTATTCCACTTTAGGAGTGCCGTAGAAACAAGGCCATTGATTGAGTGCCAAAGGTACAGTGTAACAGATGGAGTGCCATAGATAGAGTGCCATATATGGAATCCAATAGATAGAGTGCCATATATGGAATCCAAAAGATACAGTGCCATAGATGCAGTACAGTATCATAGATGAATTGTTATAGATCGATGAAATACCATAGATACTGCACTCTGCACTATGCAAAGAATCCATAGATAAATGCTGCCATAGCCATGCATAGAACAGCCATCCCACTTGTCAACCTAGAATCATGTTAGAAGTTATTTTGCCAAGAATTGCGCGCGATTCCGCGCGATAGAAGAACAGTTGCGCGCAATTCCCCTCAACGGAATTCCAACTGGAAACCCTTGTGAATAGGTCAATTATGTATTGAATAGTACAGATAAATATTGTTAAATAAATAAATTTAAATGGAAGGCTCTCGAGGTTAAAAGATCTATTTTGCAAATATTTACATTTTTTAAATATTGCCAACTTATTCTTAGAAGAATTACGATTACATTTTTACGTAAGAAATTAAATATGTGGGTGGGGGGGGG